CTCTGAGTGTATTAAAACGATAAATAAAAAATCAAAGTACCTTTTGTGAAAGAGGAGCCAAAGTGACGCCACAGCCATTGGGTGCTATTTGATGTAGAAGATGAGTGTAAATTTCGGAATCATTGATATCAGTGGTGAAATTTGTCAAACGGCGATTGACATTTGCCTATAAAACAAGTCTACAGACAAGCAAAAAAAACCCCTCTTCAAAAAATAAAAAAACGCACATTTTCCATGTGATAGTTAACCCATCGCATTAAAATCTCTTCTGGTGACAATTTTCTCAAATCTTCAAGTGTCTCTCCTTCTTTCAATAGTCGAAACAGCCCGGGGCAGTGTTGTAAATCAATCTGGTTGAATAGACCAATCTGAAATTCGTAGTGAGCAGGGTGAAATAACTCCGAGACAACTCTTAAGAAGTAAGAGCTCACTCTAATTATTTGCCAAAGGAGTCCCAGAACAAGATGCGGTGTTCCCTTACTAAGATCTATATTGTCAATGTTGATGATGTTGCATCCAATGGCCTGAATATGTCCAAAATTTTCGCAATATCAGATCTACAGATTGAAGAAAAGTAAATACTAAAACGAACCTGAGCAGACATCAGTGCCAGAGTTAAATTTTCCAATTTTGTGTATGTATTCAAATTCTTCTTATTAATTGCTTTCTCATCGATGGTACCGGCAACGGCCAAGTTTACGAGTTTGCTGGAATACTGGTTCATTGAGGTCGAAAAAAGAGGATAAAGCTGCCACACCGTTCATAAACACATATCAAAGCACACAAAAATTACACTGTAATTGTTCCTAAAACCTTTGGAAAGTCTAATACTGACAGTAAATTCTTGAAAATAATAAACTTGTGTTCACATTCTGAAAACAGGAATAAAACAAGGCGTTGTCGTAATTGAGGAGTGGGGAAGGGACTCTTGCCAGTACCTCCGTATCGGTTCCTCCAAATGAAGCTCAGGCATAGTCGAGACTATGCCTTCTATGCGAGACTACCCTCCGACGACTCCGGTTGTCTGTGCTCTGACTCTGAGCCTTTTCGATAACGGGATCAGATAAGCGTCTCAGCGCTCTCTCCCCCCTTCCCCCAACGACTAACGATTAGAACACTTATTATAAACCTACAATCCAGGATCAAGTTTCCGTCTTGTTGACGCCCTGCGCAGTTCGACATGAGTCCTAAGTAACTGAACGGGACAAACGAAGAAAAAGCTCTCTGAAACAAAGCTGATGCTCCCCGTCATCGTGATCAGAAGGATATCACACCTTTAGCTGGTCCATCCACCTAGCAGCTCTTCCCCAGCTTACTTAGGTAAAAGTCCTCAACTTCATTACAGTAACCTTGGTACTGGCTTGGCAAGGGAAGTCATTTAAAGACCACCCGCTAAGCCAATGAGCGCCCACTTTCTGAATATCAAAACTACTTTTGCCTTCATACCTCATAGACGGGAATAGACTACAGCTTTCTAACAGCAGCGTTAACCCCTTCACGCAACAGCAATTCTCCTAATGTCAATACCTTCCATTAGTTATCACTTTTCAGAACTTCATAGTACTCCATCACTGGTTTTTAAGCGGCACTTTTAGCGCAGTTGAAGGCTGGGAGGGGCATTCTGCACTTTCACTAATTCCTTTTCTTTTTTCCGCCGTCCTATATCTCAACCCAGGTGAGAATCTGCAGATCTTGTGCAGGTCGGCAAACTCTTTGTGAAGCTGTGTGTTCGCCGGGCTACTGGCAGAATGACGGCCAGTTTGGCCATCAAGAATTTTGCCAGGGTCGGTACAAGCTTAGCTATAAATACCAATCGGTGCCCGCATCAAACCGAAGTGCGGCGAGTTTCCTATCAAGAGAAATGAACAGGACGACGCATAGGTTGTCTGCGCCGCCGGTTTCACCTGTGCTCAACCATCACTGCTTTGAAATGATTAGATGAACATCAGCTGCAATTGTTGCGGAATCGTAAACGCCTGACTCGACCGGAAAAGTGTTACGCGGTAGCATAGAGAAACATTCATCATTCAGGTATTCCACCCGGGCTAGCTGACCGGATTACCGCTTCACCGAAGACACATAAAATGGGCCAGTGACCCACTGCTTCCACTAATGGAACGTTTCAGCTGAACAAACGGCTAAGACAAAGAGAGACCAGAAAGAAAGACAAATGGATAAATTGTATATTGAACAGAATGAACCGCACAATCAGAAAAACTAACCAAATAATCAAACCATCCTGAATTTTGGTATACAAATCGTCTCCTTCAGGAATAACAGGCAGCAACCGCTTGAGGTCAGGGTCGTCAGACAAATTGGAATTAATCCAGTTAGAGAAGGCTACCTCCTCCTGCAATGACTAGTTTATATAAAACGATTTTATTATTACAGCTTGAAACAGAGCACGTCGTACGTTGGGAACCCCAGCGAGAGGAGGGTCGTATCTGCTCGCCGGATGAGGGGCACGAGTCGTGCATCCTTTTCAGAAAAATTTCTACGGTTGTTGTTTTTTCCCAGTTCCTGTTTCAAATGCGCTGTAGCTCCCCGCTGGCCGGCAGTTTATTGAAGAAAAAGTGCAAGAATTTAGTGAAAAGTTGGAAAAAAAACGTAAAAATATGGCAGGTAGGATGGATGATGAGGGCTGATATTGTGGAAGGCGAGCCGAGCAAGTTTAGTAGAGGAGGGAGGGCGGACGGGGGTGGCGCGGGGCGTCATACACCCAGTATCCCGTAGATAAGAGAAGTGTGGCTCCGCATCTTTTTGAAAAGGCGTAGGACGTGTTCTTCGTGACATATTTCCGCTTGGGACAACTGACATCCTTTCTTAGGCTAAACAACGACATCGTTTCAGTTGTCCTAATGGCGATATCCCACAAAAGACGCAACCGCTGCCTCGGCTTTCAGCCAGCCCCTCTTGTTCCGGTATATAGAAGAATTAGGGCGATTGCCGTAGGCCTGGATTGCCGTGATAAGGATTAGGATTGTGGCAGGTCTGAGCAAATCTGCGTAAAAAAAAGGGGGCGGCGGGGGGCGTCGTACACCCGAGTTATCTCGAATAAGATAAAGTGGCTCGCTTATAGTTCTATATCATGATTGCGCAGAACATAGTTTGATATCTATCAGTGACAATATTTGCCCGGTTTACGTCACAACTGACATCCTTCTCAGGCTCACACATACGAATCGATTCAGCGCCCAGAATGGAGCGACTACCCACCAAAGGCGCAACTGGCTCCTATGGCCTTTCAGCGCTAGCCCACTCTCTATCCTCTGGGTAAATAGACATATATCTAGCAGAATACCCCCCTCGCCCCCAAAGCACCACACCACCAGCTGACGGTAGGAGTGTGTGGCGCGTGATTCGATAGAGCAGTACAACGAGGAGACAAGTCCCCTACCTCTGGTTCTGAGTCGTATCGTACAGTGTTTCTGCCTTATCAACTCGGATCTGATACGCACCACTTACTCGATCTGAATAAGTATTTATTATCTTAGTGTCTGACGAAGCTCTAATATTCGACACAAAATTGTAAACCTCAAAACGCTTAGCACAGAACCAGCAAGAAAACGAATGTAGAGGTACCTTTGTCAAAAATAAAGCGAGTAAACTGTTCGGAGGGAGAAAAATATCATGCAAAGAAAGTCAACTGAAAACCATTACCCAATTCTTTCTTTCCATCGGTTAGTCTCTTGATGTTTAGCCTGATCCAATTCATCGAATAAGAGGGCAAATCGTGACAACTCCACTTTGTCGGAATTTGAAAAACCATATCGATCGGATAATTCACGCATCTAAACCAAAATAACTGAATCTCTTGATCAATAACATGGCGTTAGAGGATAGGAAATATCGCTCAACATATATAGTTCAGATTATCCAGGCGGACGAGTTCATAGGGGACACCCACTGGGACGTGAACCCAAACCTCAAAGATATCGAAGAAACCTCAGCTACAATACCGAGGAGGGACGGGCTGAGTATATTTCAGAAGGTAACTCAGTAAGTGCATTAGGGCAGCACCTATCACCCAGGGCAAAAAGCGGTCTTCGAAATACTTTGTTATACAGAAGATTTCTTGGTGATAATATAACTTTCAAGATAATTTCCGGAATGGGTTGCATTTTTCAAGCATAACATGTGAAAGTTATTCACCATTTCCTACTTTCAGATCCTTTGGAGACGAGGGTGGTGATCAGACTTTGCAACAATTTAAACGGAGATTTTCCCAACTTTTCAACGTGACTTTTCTATTTACAGTGAAAGAGAAGAACAAAGTACCGGATAGCATCTAAACGAAAATTTTAATATGTATGAAAATTCAACATAAATGGTTCCCACCGTCTTAAAATTCTCTGAAAGATCTTCGATTTGCTCTGTTGTGAGCATCTGCACCTCTGAAACAAACTTGAATATTTAGAAAGATTTCAAGTTAAAGAGGAACGCATAGTACAAGAAGCCGAAACCTCAACCAGCCGCATTACCGAACGAGATAAAAAAGATCATTTGCGAAAAAGCAAGTGATCGGAAAGAAATAATGTAAAATGCCAGGAGACAGATTACTTGGGCAGCTCGAGAAATGGAAGCGCGCCGTTGATGATCCCTTGCTACCTGTCAAAGGGGATAAAAATCGACGAGTTAAGAGTTGAAGAGACACGAAGAAAAAAACGTATGTAACCTTGTTCCCTGCGGATGAATGGGCGTTCCAGGCGGGACGGATTTCGTGTGGCCCCAAACCAGTTTTCCACCAGATGTTGGAGCGACCGAGTCATAAGACTGTATCATAATATTCGTATCAGTCGTTTTCCACCAACTGTTGCCGCTCACTACCGCTTGTAGGCAATCTAGTGGAGAGGCATGCTTCTCGCGGCGCCAAACCCATCGACGACACGCCCCTTCATTTCAGCAAAACTGTATCGATCTATTTCCGGGCTGGTCAGTTCTGCAATTCTTTGATTTTTTTTCAACTCAAATATCGATACGTCTCTAAAGCTCTCGGGCTATGCCTTCCTTCTCAACTTTTAACTGAAGGTGGAGGGGCGCAGTGTACGAGAGGATTAACATCACAAGAGGGCAATGAAAGCAGTGGAAGCTAGGCGGCAATATGATGGCCATTAACGATTTATGAGCGGAAACTGAACAAACCCAGGCGCTACCCCTGTAATCGTGGGCAATCGAACAATCGAGTGAGTACACGTAGTATCAACTGAAAAACATGGTGGTGAATTGGTGTGCAAACAGAAGACAAGACGAGATGGACCGCCGAAGAGATTAGTCACACGAGCACAAGAAAACTGTGGAAAGCGTCCGGAAAATAAAGAATGACTAATCACAACTTTAAATTACATGACTTATCGTAGACACCCATGATAAATGACTCAACCTCAGCCCCACAAATTAATTGAAGCCGTAATGTCTGTCATCAGAGGTCGCATCAATTCGCGAGGTATTCTGGGCGAAAATTATTTGGGGGGTTTGGGCGCTAACGTACTTGGGTTGGGGTGAGGACGATGCGGCAGCTGCTTTTTGCTTCCTCCTCACTGAAACAGTGTTTGAAGCAGCTTTTAAAGGATTTCCAGCTTATTTCAAGCAATAAATTGATCACCTCGAAGGTAAATGTGAAGTCTATATACCCACTAGAGAATTCGCTAAAAAGCATGGTTTCTGTAGCCAATCTTCTGCCTGTCTGCTTTGGTGGGGCACTATTGGAGGAGCTGGGAGATTTTAAGCTCCTGCGGAGCATCCGAGGCGTCCTTTTTGAGAGAGTACGCATTACGCGCCAAAAAGGAATGGATTCACCCTCTTCCCAAGCTCCGGCGTCTCCCTCTCCGCGCGAGCATAGGCGAAATCCTCGACTACTGGTCTACCAATTCGCTCATTCTCACTTATAGCAGCATTAAAAGCCTTACCCGTTACTGGATTACGCACTCTACAAGGGCGACTACAATGGCATGTTCTAATCCTTAAAAACTGGCGAAGTTACCCAGAAAGAACCTCACTGGAGCGAAGCCAACAAAACACATGGGATACTATCTTCACTATCTGGAGTGAGGAGGGTGCAGAAGAGCAGCGAGCCGAGTGGTCCCCCCCAAGGACCTTTAGCACCGGTGTACTGAGCAAGCACAATCGTAGTACGCACAGGGCGCTGGGCGTGATTACAGCGGTACTATCCGAGATGAGTTTCCTACTCCTCCGAAGATATTTCGATGTCAAGAGGGTGGGAACGGTTCCTAGATCATGCGCTCTAGGGTCTTTTTGCCTTGAATTCGCTATGAGTTGTCGCAACTCGAATTTGCTGCTGCATAGCGAGAATTTGTCGATTGCCGCACGATACGCTGCGCGCGGCGACGCGACAAACTACGATTGTCTTGCCCGTCTCCCCATCATTCATACATTACCTGATGCTTGAGCTTCAGCCCTATAAGGCTACATTCTAATCAATGAAATTCTGTTATCTCCGGTTTTAGACGAGAATGGTGCATTGGGATCGCAAGAATATCTAATACATACACTACGCCAAGAAAACGCCCACCCAATCAATAACGATGACCATCAAGAACCAAAACAATAAATAAGGGTAAACAATAAATCATTACTCAAACTTAACACAAGTTGTCTGGAATCAATTATTAGGTAAGGAAACATGGAGATCAGAGGGGAGATTCAAAAGCAGTCCACATCGGCGTAGGCAAAAAGCGCGACATAGGGAAGCAAATGCACATAAAGCGGCAGCTTCTACGTAATCAGCACTGATAACGAAAACATAAAACTTTTGGAAACGCAATCTACTCCGGCTTCGTATCAGGCAAGGTGCGAAATGTGAATGCGGGCGCAAACGATGTAAGATGGAAACGAGAACTTGATGAATTCAGAATTGGCAAAACGATAGTGTTCTATGAAAAGCACTGAAATAAGCATAACATAAAGAATTCCAGCAAGTGAAAGGAGAACTAGGCAGGGCTATGCCGTTTGCCGGCCCCAACTTCCTCGCACCGGCGATAAATAAGTTGTGGAGGACGTGATCAACGTGAGCCAAGAATACCTTCCATCTCTAGAAAGTACCACGCGCAATACTTGAAATTTCGCTCAAAGTAGGTGCGCCGAGAATGTAGGAGATAGATGCTACTTTTCCTGTTTGAATTCTTTTCAATTTGGGGGGGTTGCTCTCCTCAGTGGTCATTTTGTTTTCTTTATTCTTCTCTTCCTTTCTTTTCTTTGTTTTGTATTTTTTATTTTTATTTTCTAAAACCGCTTTTCTGCGAATTGCGCGGGATTTGCAGAAATGCGGTTTTCAAGTCGATACGTATATCTTTCCTTTTTGCAATTTCATATTTCATCACTTCTTCAACGTGTCATGTATGAACGCGGGCCTCAGGCCGCGTTCATAGCTTGCGACCATGAAGAAAGTGAAGAAGTGCCGAAAGTGCGGAATCTGCAGAAATGCCGAATGTGAAGAAAAGCAATAGATATGTATCGATTTGACTATCCGCACCTTCCCCACTTTCCGTACTTATTAACTTTCAAATCAGCACCATACGATTTCCTAATGCATTTTCTTTTCAATTTTCAGCAGATTCCGTTCACTTTCTCGCACTTTGTGCAGATTCCGCACTTTCCGCACCTTCTGCACTTTCCGCAATTTCTTCAAATCGATACATATCTATTGCTTTTCTTCACATTCGGCATTTCTGCAGATTCCGCACTTTCGGCACTTTCGGAACTTCTTCACTTTCTTCAAATCGATACGTATCTATTGCTTTTCTTCACTTTCCGCACTTTCGGCACTTCTTCACTTTCTTCATGGTCGCAAGCTATGAACGCGGCCTTATGTTTCCCTTTTCCAATGATTGGTTTTTGTTCGCCGATGTTTTCTTGTGTTCGCAATTGTTCGTACAAAATCGATTGATTTTTACGCTAGCCCGCCCGTTATTGATTGTTTGTCATGTTTACAGATGTGTTTTGTCTCCTGGTTTATCCGAACTATGTTTGTTTTCCATCTTCCTCCTGTTTCTTAATTTTTTTAGGCTGATAGGCTTTTTTCAGGTTGTCACGCGCCTCCCTTGCAGAGATGGCTAGAAAAGTGTTGCAGACTTTGGATATGAATGGTGAGGACAGCGTATACGGCACACATCGGCTGATGCAAGTGGACGGGCCTGAAGGATCTCAGGCAACACTTGGAGGTTTGTCTACGGCGTTAAATTTAGGTGTCGTTGACGTAAGGAGTAAATTAGTCATCCCATCAACCCTGTGCCGCGGTTTTATTTGACTAACTAAACTACAAGAGGGAATAGGAATAAGCCCAGAGTAATATTTTGGCTGCAATTAGCTAAATCCCTCCTTCACCAATGACCCGCTCCCAGTGCCCCGAAAGCCTTTGGACCTCTGGTACCTTCCATTTTCAACACAAGTGCTGGGCGTAAGTCTGTCGATGACTGCACAAGTTTCTCGGTCAAAATGACAAAGCATTGTAGCGTTTGCCGTCACTGAGTACCCTCGACTAACCAGATCATTTGGAATCGAACGGCTTTATGTTGAGGGAATAAGGCGATTGAACCCAGGGGCCGTATGCTATACTCACCCTCGAGGGGAGGGGTCCCCTCGAGGGGAAGACACCCCAGGGGGACGTCCCCCAGAGCGGCCGTATGCTACACTCGAGGGGATCCCCCGAAGCGGTAGAGACGCAGAGTTGGCTGGCGCAAATTTGGGGGAAGGGTCGTCCGTACATGCAGCCTCTGGCTTTGCACTGTGACATTTCGGAGAATCTCAAGCTAGAAGTGATGATTATCAATTGCAA